ATCTCCCTTAAATTCCATCTCGGAACATTATCCGGCTTGGCTCTTGAAAAGGGAGCGAAAAACAATCACAAGTTCTATAGAGGAGCACTTAATCAACTGATTAATAATCGTTGACAGGAAACTCTATTTGACTTGATTGATTTGAACTTTGTTTAAATTGGTTCTTGTTATGAAGGTGGACTTGTTATCTGCAAGGAACTGATATTGATTTTCGGATTCGGACTGAAAGTGGTTAGTTTCACTATGTTTGGTCCATTGAACTGTACAGATGACATGAAATACTTTTTGATTACTAGAATTTAGGTGTTGGACAATAATAATTCAATATATTAGGAACTGACGTAAACAGAACTATAAAAAATCAAGGGACTTTGATCACATTTTTCAATTCATTGGATGGGACTTGTAACTAGTGTTTACTGCAATAGGTACAGTATTATTTAGCTCCCTTAAGGGATTATCAAGTTCATTAACTATGATGCAAATTCCATACATTACCATTTGTGACACTCTATTTCATTTTCAATCTGTTTAAGTTAATAGATTATAGCTTGTAACTAGAATTTCATATTTGCCCATCTTGAGACGAATCAAAAGTGTATGATTTGTCATTGTAAAGTACAACAAATGTATCAATTCGTTTCCATCTACGACTAACACCGATTGACAAACCAAATAAGATATGTTAACTCATAAAGTTATGAGAACAAAGATATTGGAAATAGCAGATAACTGAAACATGAAGTTTACATTACCCAGATTATTACAAATAAGGTGTAACGACTAGTTGTCCTCTTCTTCATCGTCTGTATCTTCATTTTCAAAGTTAAAGAACCGAAATTCATAAGAATCTTTTGATTTCGCTACCATGCGAAGGAAATTTCGCAATTTGTGACTTTTGAGGAATTTCTTTGTCAGATATTTAAAATACCTTTTCGAAAAAGGGTTGTTTGCGGTAACATGTATGGTTGATTTGTCACATTCAATGTGAACATCTTTCCCAAGATTATTAAATTTATTATCTACTTTTATGTGTTCCTTTAAATATTTTTCAAGTAAACTAGGGCTAACTATATCTTCACCAATAACTCCGGGCGAAATGCCTATACTGAACTTCAGGACCTGTTTTTTCTTTGAGGCTGGTTTATACGACTTCGGTTTCGGGACGGATTTTGCAACCATGCTGAGACCTACTATTACCCGTCAATTTAAATAGTTGATTATTGAAAGCAATATCTATTACTGAAACAAATGATGATATTTATTTAAACAATTGATCTAACTGAAATCTATGACCAATAATCAAATAAACATAAATATGAGATAATACTTCGTTACAGTACTTTATAGTACTTTTATAGTACTTCTCACTTGAAACATAGGTTGTTATACTATGAATAATACTGTATTGATTTTCAGTTCTGTAATACAGTACCCTATCTAGTTTACATTCGTCAATTAATCAAACTACAAGCAAATTATTAGTAAATTTTTGTATATTATATGTTATATTGTTGTTACATAGTTACACAGTGATCCCCCCCAACGACAACACAATTTTTTTTCACAAATATTATAACTACATATTATGGTTAACGTTAGATGGATATGTAAAGTTCACCTTTTAAATTAACTTGGTATCATTTATTATCCAGTAACAATGACTACTGTTAAAACTGTAAATAAATAAAAAACGCATGTATAAATCTTCATTTATTTGACTAATACAATAAACTTGTTATCAGGTCAAAATCTATTTTTAAATAACACTTTATTATAAACATCTTAATAACTCATTAAATAACATTGTTTAGAACTATGGCAACCTGAAGTTGAAGCTTCAGGTCATATAACAGAATGATATATATATATATATATATATATATATATATATATATATATATATATATATATATATATATATATATATATAATATAATATAAATTAAGCATTACAGAATAGAATTATACTCAACCTAGATACTGGTCATAAGTCAAAACATACCTGAAATAGGATCATGATCAACAAGCGATTGTATTTCATTATTAAACAAATATTTTTTGTTTGTTTTTATTTTATATATAAAAAAACAATTCAAATCTTGTTATTATGTAGCATGCAATTTGTAATGAAAACGATGTTTCATAATTTTTATTCTATTCCATTTTCACTCAACTGTTTATGGATAATTTCATGTTGTTTTTAAAAAAAAAATAATATAAGATGATTTAAATGGTAGTTGTAGTGATTAGATATTATAATGGGTTGATATGAGCTTGTGAACAAAGAGATGGAGAGAGAGGGGGGGGGTATTGAACAATTCAATATTGTGTCATCACCAAGGGAACACATCTAAGATCTTCAGGTCTCGAGTCGAGCAACAGAGTTAGAACTGAATGGTTTATATTTTCATCTTTTGTTAATCCACAATATTTTGTATATTTCATATGCATAGAGTACTAAATAAAGATAGTGGATCAGTTAAATCTTTATCCACTGAGGTAGTTGGGATGTGTGGTACGTATCTCCAACCACCGTATATTACGACATCGAATTTTGAATGATGTAGGAGGGACCAGCAAACCATGATATAGATTCAATTCGTGAATATTGGTAACTGTTGGATTGAATCGTGTTGATAGATGTAGGCTACATGGTTGAGGTCTTTATAATTATCATGACTAGTGGTTGAAGAAGTTGGTTGAAATAGCTCAAAACCAGTTTCAATATTTCAAATATATTTACTCTTTTTCTTCTCTTAGATCTTGAATTTTTAAAATTATATCATACTTTAAATTCGATTGGTGTTGTTTTACTTGTATCTTCCCATTGTTGTTTAGGATTGCAATTGATCAGTCTCTTGTTGTCATATGTGCATCCTGTGCGGACTGCTTCGATATTACCTTAATTCATAAGCATTATAAACAAATATGGATAATGGCTAGCAGTGGAATCCAGTTTGATGTGCGTTTCGTACTACTTGAGATTCGTCGGCTGGATGTACCTGTATCCCAGAAGTGATGTTCACTCATACTTTTTTTTATTTCTGCAGGTTTATTCTTCCTTGTCAAGTGATATAGTCTTTCCTTAATATTTCCTACTATCATTGATACAGTTATTACTTCTATCAATCCGGAATGTGCCTTGATAATTTCATCTTTCTGTACTGACGTTATGAAACAGCGTGAATTGAAGTACATTTATTAAGTTCTATGTTGACTATGAGTGATTAGCTGTATATTTCATTAGATACTATTGATCGACAACTATTATATTCAGAACATGTTTGAATTAAATCAGTCAGAACTTTTCAACAGAAGACTTCAATAATTCATTTCAAATTTTAATTACTAATAAACTTACAATTAGCATTTATCAGAAGGGGTATTGTGGAGATTTAAGAAATTTCAGTAGTTGAAACCATGAATCAATCGAAGCTACACCACCATGGAGAACCTAGAAACACTGGACGGCCGGTTCATCCTAGTAACTGACTTCAAGAGGCATTTCCTGGAGTTCTAGTGAGAAGCAGTGATCAATGGAGTTCAACCAGGTCTGTTGTAAGATATCAGCTCACTGAAGACAATGGTGTACGGTGGGACAATTTCGTGGATTAGTTGAAGTTAGACATTAACACCGTTGGATGCTGGACAGCTCAGTGGTGTAGAGGTAAAGCGCTCGTGCACGATTGGGATCTGAAGGTGCGAGATCGTGGATGCGTACTGCTGAGGATTCCTATAGTAGGACGAAATGGCCATCCAGTGTTTCCAGGTTTCCTATGATGATCTAACTTCAATTGACTCACGATTTCAACTAATGAAACTAGCATGTAATTGAAAGGTTTAAAGAAATTAATCAAAGTGAAAATTGCTTTTTTTTTAATGAATTAATATCAATAAAGAAATTGATAGTCATGTTGTTTGTAAAGAGGAGTTTTAATTTTATAAACAATTGTAATTAGTCGCCAACCATTGTCTGACTTTTCTCTTTTTTTTTCTTTTCTAGACAACTTTCTTAATCAATGTATTCTCTTAATCTTCTCACAGTTACACAATCTGCCAATTATCACATTCCAAACTAAGTTTCTATTATTTATATTACCAGAAATGATCATTGAAATGATCCCACTATTAATTTGTTTATTTATTGTCTAGCTTAAATGATCATAATTAGACTATCTGAATATGTAACACTTATTTGACATACTATATAGACAGTCATTATATACATAATTGATAGGTTAAGTAGTAAAATGAGACGTTTTTAGTTATTGAGAATTTGTGTGAACATAACAATATGTAATGATGATAACAAGTAATGAAATGATCTAGTTACTTACCTATTTGTATTATAAAGGGTGAGAAACATTTCAAACTTTACATTATACAGTAAATATGACACAATAATGAACATGAAATGAATAGTCTATAATTATCATCAGTGATTAAGTTATGGTTATGTAACTATACTGTTAAAATGTACATTTCTATCCATTTGTTAATAAGTGAGATCATTACAAATGATCTCACTAATTATGGGAAATACTTGGGAGAAAATTAAAAAAACGGTTATAATCCTTGATTAGTAACGATGACTATAATCGTAGTAGATTCTTACCAGCAACAAATGATTGAGATCTTGAAAACATCTAAATGTATTGACTAACGAATATGATTGAAGTTTTTACGTTAGAATAGAATTTTCTGAATTAGACAGTTGAATAATAAAGATTCTATTGTCTTTCTAAATAACATTATCAGAATAAACTCCAGATGAAAGTGAAGTATAAGAACTTTTCTACAGATGAGTAGCAGTTAGTAGATTCTTTCTTTGATCTTTGTCATAATAGCCATGAAACAATCAGTGTAAATATTAATTTATTTGGCCCATACAATACGTTTTAGCATCTGCTAGTCACTTGTAAAAAAAGTTTTGCAGTCCACTTCTATCCAAAGTTTCTGCTGCTGCTGATGATGATGATGCTTTGGATGATGATGCTATGGATGATGATGATGCTTTGGATGATGATGATGATGATGATGATGATGATGATGCTTTGGATGATGATGATGATTTGGATGACGATGATGATGATGATGATGATGATGATGATGATGCTTTGGATGATGATGATGATGATGATGCTTTGGATGATGATGATGATGATGATGATGATGCTTTGGATGATGATGATGCTTTGGATGTTGATGATGATGATGATGATGATGATGCTTTGGATGATGATGATGCTTTGGATGATGATGATGATGATGATGATGATGATGATGATGATGCTTTGGATGATGATGATGATGATGCTTTGGATGATGATGATGATGATGATGATGATGATGCTTTGGATGATGATGATGATGATGATGATGATGATGATGATGATGATGATGATGATGATGATGATGATGATGATGATGATGATGATGATGATGATGCTTTGGATGATGATGATGATGCTTTGGATGATGATGATGATCAAACCATCACTAGGTCAAATAACTCACTTTCAACAAAATCATCCTCTCAAACTACAAATCTTTTCCATGCTCTGAGTTTTGTAATGAAGATAACTGAATCATTTATAAAGTACAGAATTCAGCTGTTTTCTGAAAAACCCCTAAAGCAACAGATAACATGATGATTATCTTTGATTATTTTGAGTGTCCTGCATCTGAAATAAAGTATAAAAAATACGATCGGGTCTTTTTCTATCATGTATTGGTGAAAGTCTATGATTTGTATGAATCCTGATAAGTAAAGCTGTTTGTCAGTCATTATATTCCTTAAGTTAACATTTTGCATTCGGAATTCAACAAAAGCAAAGAGTATACTATGAAGACGGAAGGTTTATGGATATCTTAGAAGATAATTTACAGCTAAAGATTAAGTGAAAATCAAGAAACGTTGGACAATAGTATTAGTCTAGTACTAGACCCTTCATAAATGTGTACTAAGTATTCTTTCAGGATTTAAACCCACAACTTTAAGGGTCTTAACCAATCGAGTCATTGCCCAATGATCGAATCACTTATACTCCTAATGAGACAGCTATTACCAGTAAAAGTGGCTGATAGTCGTGTAGTATAGTGATTTAATTAAAGTTAAACATGTGAACCATAAGATGGTAACTCGGTTGTCTAAGTTAACGATTTTATGCTTGAACCCCGGTTTAGGTAGTGAGTCCTTTCGAGAAGCAAACAGCTTTCCAATGTCCCTTGGATCTCAGTGACTATGTGGCTAGAGTCTCCTCAAAATTCAAACTATCTTAAAGCTGATTAATTATATATCTATTTGAGTAGAGAGTCTATTATTATGGCAATATATTGACCACATACAGTCATCGTTAGGGGTTAGAATCATGCGTGACACCACTGAAAACTAGGAAGTATTAAATAGCTAATCTATCACTAATTTGAAGTCCTTTACGATGGAAATCAACAATCCCATATAGCCCAGGACCTCCAAGCTTCATAATGAGAACGAAACATTTAAACAACTGGGTTACTATCTAGTGCTCTACATTTTCAACTTATAGACTGCAGTGAAATTCAAAATCTCTGTCTCATTCTAGATATGACTATATTCAGTTGTGAAAAAATATACAATGAACATTTGAAAAAATGCCAGTATTAGCTAAGAATTAATGGATGCTGAATACGACGTAGTTGGATGAGTCGTGTTATTTTCGTACAGCATTTTCGTAGGTTTGTCTTATGATATAATACACGAATTTAGAACATTACTGAATATCATTGCTAGAAAATCTTTTCTACGCTCGTTTATAATGTAGTTTTTTGAGTTTTCTTTTTACCATGACACTTAAAACTACACTTTTCTCTAAAGCTATAAAACAATACCTACACGATTCTCGTACATGTACATAAAATGGTTAAACTCATGAATCGGAAACAATATCATGTTTGTTCAGTCAGTAGTACGCATCAGACAATGTCAAGTAACAGTGGGACTACTAATTAAAATGTTTTGCTGTAAAGTGCAACATCTTTCGTGCCAGTTAACACTCAGTAACAAAGCGTATTTATATTTTTCTATCATCTAACGTTCTTTGTAAAATTCTAATACGCTTCGTTCGTAACTAAATTTCAAAATGTTACTACTTAGCTATTCTGTTAATAACTGACTTCCAGTAGGACTTTCTATCATTTATCTCTAACTACTTAGTATACATTTCCTCATATTTATAAACAGATATGATTAGTAATATCAGAATGCAAGTAGGTAAATTGTTTTAATTTGGTATATTTATTATTATCAGTAAGGGTTTTGTGGAGATTGTAGTAATTTCAGTTGTTGAGATCATGAGTCAATTGAAGCTAGACCACCATGGAAAACCTGGGAGCACTGAACCGCCGTTTCATCCTGTTGTGATCTAGTGGTCCAACGCTCGCGCGAGACTAATGGGTCATGGGTTTGAATCCCGTGATGCGGGGTCGTGACTGCGCACTGCTGAAGAGTCCCACAATAGGACGAAACGACCGTCCACTGTTTCCAAGTTTCCCATGATGGTCTAACTTCAGTTGACTCATGATCTCAACTATTGATATTCATTATTCATTCGGTATCTATGTTCAAAATGTTGAAAATATGTCCTAATGAATTTTATGATGAAACTACTTAACTAACAAGATATAAGTTAACATGTTAAACTAATGGAATAGGAAACACTAATGGTTATTTCATTATTCCTATAAGATTGTCAATGATAGATGATTGATTATTCTTAGATATTCATTGCGTAATCCATATAAAATTATTCCTATATATTTGGAATAATCATTTGAATAATGTACAAATTTGTATTGATTAAAAGGATTACAAAAATTCTCTCAGCAAAATGAATATTCCTAATGGATATTAATTGAGGATACCTTTACTCAATGTTCACATAATCTATATATTTTTCAGTTGTTAAGGTGAAATATTCTTATCGGAGAAACAAGATGCTTTTGTAAAATCAATACTAGATCCTAAGTTAATTTTAATAGTTGAGATCATGAGTTCATTGAAGTTAGACCAGTATGAAAAAACTGGAAGCACTAGATGGAAGTTAATTACTTCATATTGTTTTTCTATGTTGTACAGATGTTCTTATTGAATAGTTGGTCATAAAAATAAGCTTTTTTAATTAATCTGATCTTTTAATAAAGATAAAAACACATAGGATTAGAGATTGAAATCAGGTAAAACTAGAAATTCAGTCATGAATATCAACAAAAGAATCATTCAAACTCTTATAAATGATTCATTTATATTAGTTGTTTGAATTTTTCCACTGATGTTTACGACTGTATTCGATCAGTCTCTTTTGAAGTGTGTGAGGATTGTAACGATATTACTATTAATTCAAATGTATATTTAGGTAGTGAGATGGTGGTTAGCAGTTGAAACCAAGACGCGTGTTTCATCCTATTTGAGACTGACCGGATGGATGTATCTGCATCCCATAGTTGATGTTCAGTTTGAGACTCTCGTGGTCAGCACCAACTCGCTGCTCAGACTGCTATTGATTCCAGATATCCGCGGGAATAAACGATGGGGTGAATTTCATGTTATTTGTATTGGTTGTTTCAATCTTCCGACTGATGTCTAGGACTGCTATTGATCAGTCACTCACTAATACTGATATAAACATCATAACCGTCAAACAAGTTGGTGGTCATCTAAATGCAATAACGTAGTGGATGATGAATTGTCATTTGAAGCGAAAACTATTGTTTTCGAGTCCTAATGTGAATTTCAAATCTATGATGCACACACACCCGACTGGTGGGTATTAACAGAAGTACGAAATGCTTATCCTGAATTCCACTTCTAGCAGCAGTTCATTTGCTCTAAAGAAAACTAAATAATATTGAGAATGACTTAACCTATAGGAAAATTTTTTTCAAGAATATCATTTATAAATCAATTCCACACAAGTCCAAATGTAACCGATATAGTCCAGTGTTGTAGTTATTTAGGATTATATCTACGCCTAGTTGACAAATATCAATTAACACAAAACACAGGTCAATAGAATGTTTTAAAGACTATACCAGTCGGTTAAATCACTGACCGATAAAATAAACAGTTTCGGTAAGTTCAAACTATCAGGTTGGGGTCTGTATGATTACTTTGATCGGCAGTTAGCGAAGTTAAGTTATATGACTATGAATCAGTAACAGTAGTGATGATATATTCGTCTTTATTTTCTTTTATTACATTTTGAGTCTTGTTTTCAGTTAATACGTTTTATTCTTTTTAATTTCATCCCATTTTTAAACCATATTCTTCAATTCACTTGGTGTAGTTTTACTTGTATCTTCCCATTGTTGTTTAGGACTGCAGTTGATCAGTCTCTTGTTGTCATATGTGCATCCTGTGCGGATTGCTTCGAAATTACCTTTATTTACAATCATTATAAACAAAGATGGATAGTGGTTAGTAGTAGAATCAAATTTGAAGCACATTTTGTCCTATTTGGGATTCGTCAGTTGTATGTACCTGCATCGCTGAGTTGATGTTCACTCCAGGACTCGAGACTGATAAATTGAATTCCTAAAGAACAATGGGAAGATGCAAGTAAAACAACACCAAGTGAATTTAAACTTCACCCCATTGCACAAGCAGGTGACTATCAGGACTCAGTAACTGAGTGGATAACGCGATGGCGTTTAAAGCGAACGTTACTAGGTTCGATTACTAGAGTAAATATCCGCTGTGGGATGCAGGTACATCCAGCTGTCAAGTCCCATATAGGACGAAACGCGTGTCCTGGATTCTACTGCTAGCCACTGTCCATCGTATTCTTCAATGTTTACTCTTGTTAACTAGCTCTGAGCCAAAATTATATAGATTCTTTTATTATTCATCTTGTCAATGAATCTTGATTGTGTTTCTATATTATGATATGAACATGAATCAATGTTCTTTCCGGTCATATTGTTTCAGTTGCATTTTTGACATTAATTATTCTTATAACGTCACTTTGACTTCTGAATATCATATACCGTTGATAATTATCATGATAACTGTTGATTTAATCAATTGTTAAATGAAGAATAAAATAAATAGGCAACTATTCACTACACATTACAAAACGTCAATGAGAGAACTAATTACTAAACTAAATCAATTTGAGCAGCTGTTTCATTCTATCTACATTGATAGATAATTCAATTGATTCTAGGCATTCAATGATTTTCTACTTTATGACTAGTCACTGTTTTCCAGATATGTTTCATTTATACAATTGTTGAAATAACGAGAAAAAAATTGGTTACATAATATGTATTTTTGATGAAATATCTGTTCATTCATTCATTCATTCATTCAATCGTCCGATCATTATTTCTTGTCTTAGTTACTCAAATAAACTTCAACTAACCATAGTTTTATAAACATATCATAAAAGGATGTTTCTTTGAAACGATGAATGGAATTGAATTGAATAGTTTCAGTGTATTTATAACGTGAATTATTAAGATAGTTTGTTTTATGAATCAATAAGTAGATATATTGAAACAGAATTAAATTCTTTTTTAAATCAATCTGTCGGTCCATTTCGTGAAGAAGAAGAAGAAGAAGAAGGACCCCCCCTGGTATAATCAGTTGTGGATGATCCACCCGACCTACAAA